GTGTGTGTGTATTTTGACTTGTTCACTCATCATTGCTCAAATGGGTGTGGGTGAGGTTAAGCTTTGACTGTGAAGTGAGAAAAACAACATTTCCAGATACCTCTGTGAAATCATGAGCAACTGGTTGGTTCTCTAATGTAATAAACAGCACTGGTATCATGTATATTTATGTAAACAAAGAAACCGCAGCATCCATACATGAGGTCTATAGAGGTAAACAAAATCCTTAGGTTGTAAATAAGAATGGTACATTATCAAATATAAAAGCCCAAACTACATATATACATATTATACTAAAACTGGTGCAGTCTAATACAATCATACCTGCTTCATCAACATTATAATAATTGTTTTTTTGTATAATATTATGCGATAATATTTTTGATTCCACTGAAGGATCATTTAAAAGCTGCACTTTGGGTTGCTGTTCTTCTGCATCACATTATATAAGAAGGAAAGTCTGTGGTTCAGCCTTCTCCCATTGGTTTTAATGGAGTAGACGAAATAACAGCAACACCGTGAAACATAATGAAATGTAGTTCAACAGCAACACAGCTCACATCCTCTAAAATGATCTGTCACACAGTTTAAACCAAAGCTGAACATTGAAACCTTAATGAGCCTTTATTACAGAAGTGTTGTATTGAGCGGCACTAGTGTTAGCTGGGTGTACCTAATGAATTGAGTATAAATCTGTCCAACCCCACATTGCATCTCTCTTACTGCTCTTTCTGACAGTACAGCCATCTCCAAATGAAGAACTGGTCAGTCCACATGTTCTGACTCATACATTGTTAAATGACTGAACATGGTCGACTGTTTTAACTGGAACACTCCTGACATGAAGACATGTCACCGAGGTCCACGGAACTCTTGTGAAATGCAATATTAGGGGAGGGCAACAAGTCACTTGATTAACTATTGTCCTCGAATACATAGAACTTGTGATAACATAGAGAGACGAGTGCCCGTCCTCAGTCTCTTTCCAGTGTTCCACAATCTGTGACCCATCAAACTCTGTGACCTGTTGCAGTGTAACGTAGGATTTCGCCTTGTGCCAACATGTGTTCAGAATAAGTGATTTATTTAGTCTGATTAATAAATATTGTTTCTCCTGAGCATTTTTTACTTAAGCATGTAGAGCTTCTGTAGCTGCAGCACACCAGTGAGGTGCAAATGCCACTTTCCAACCACAGACAGAAAAAGGAGTGACGCCAGGTCTAATGAAGTCCTGTGTCACAGAGCAGTGAAAAATACATGGTGACCATTTGAGCATAGTACAATCTCTGTGGTTTGGATGTAATACAAAGTGGGAGAGAAATGGGAGACATAAGGAACTGGATTCGAGTTATATAATATGAAACACATCGAACACCATCCCGACTGACAAATAACAGGAAGTTTTCATGTTTCAGCTGCTTTAACCAGTGAAATGTTGGCATTAATGCTGAAAAAGACTGGAATTATTATTTTAATGAAACAAAATTGGCCAATAAACTTTCCGTCTAGAAGAAGATTACATTTATCAGATTGGGGGGGTGTCATCTACATCAATATAAGAAAAAACAATTATACATCTCAGCTGACGCATGATATCAGTTGAAATAACTAGATCGAATATAAATCTTTCAAAAGCAAAGAGCCCCCTGTACGATTGGTCTAAGTGTGCGTTATGTTCGGCTGCACAGCTTTAAGTGAGTGAGATAAATAGAGAGGAAGGGAGAAATGGCAGCAGAGATGAAAAGTAAACTAGATAATACCACCGGGGGCTGACAAACTTCCTAGCTTTGACTGCTGCTGGCCTCCAGAGATGGCAGTAAACAGCTGTATAATCCTCCTCCAATTATTCAGCCATTCTTCTGTCCTACTCCCTCTCTCCACCTATCCTTTCTTTTTCCTTTCCCTCTCCATCCACCCAAACGTCCCTGCTGTGCTCGCTGCCTGTCTCTTCCTGCGCTCCAGAGCTGACAGGGGTTTGTTTTTGGCAAAGACAACAATGGCCTACACCTTGGCTCAGGCACTGATGCACCCAACAAACGCACAAACTCCTCAGAACAGTAGTGTATGCATGTTTGTATCTATACATGTGTGTGTGTGTGTTTGTGTGTAAAAGCAGGTCACCATTTGCAGTGAGTGTGACTGTGCTGAGGAGAACTAAAGGGGCTGTGTGAGAGTAAGAGAGTGTGTGTGTGTGTGTGTGTGTGTGTGTGTGTGTGTGTGTGTGGGTTCTCATGCAGCACTCCTCCTCCCTGGTCGAGCAGAGCGACTGACAAACACAGATCTGTTAGTCTCCGTTTGTTTCCTTTTGAACTGGTTTCCGTCTCGCCTCCTTTTCCGCTCCTCATACATTATTGCACAGCAGCCAACTTTGGTGCTTTGGTGAGACATCAACTCAGCCGTCTCCTTACAGTGAGGGACATCATCAAAGTAGCATTGTAATTTCATAGTCTTGTCAAGGCAATGATAAATCATTTATTCACTCTGCCTCTGTTATCTCATTACCATGAAAAGGAATGGGAGCGGCCAGAAGCACGAGCTCAATAGCAGCGCTGCGCTGCGTACAGGAATACAGCTGTGTTTTTTTTCATTATTGTATCGTTGAAATCATTTAAGACGTAGACATACCAATGAATTACCAGTTACCAGAATAAAAGACTATGAACTAGAAGGGCACTCTGAGAGGGTATACCTCCACTAAGGCTAATGCCCTATGTCACCATGTCAAAGCAGTGTTTCCCATCAACTATCTAGACTGTGGCGGCCCACCATAATTAGTCCTTACACGGTTTCATAATGAACCACAACCATTTTTACACTACTCATAATGACATTAGAGATTTCTAACTTCTTGTTTTGCTCCATTGCTGCTTTGTATAGCTGTGTGCAGCAGTATTTGCAGCATGCTATCGCCCATAAATTTGTTCCTTTCCACTCAGTCAGACCGCAGCTACAGTTGCTCTCTTGCCCTCAAGTGGCATGTATCGCAGCTCTCCCTCTCTCTCTCTCACTCACACACAACAACTTGACTTTTACCCTTTAGTCTGTTTACCTGTCACTCTGGAATCTGTTTTGTGTAAGAGCCACGTTACTGTTAAAGATCGAATGAATTCTTTGGGAAAACACTGCAGAGAATGTCAAACTAAATTCCTGGATTCCCCATCTTTTTGAATCCGCACCAAAATTCTATGGTTTTCCTGAAACCATACTGCTTCCTTTCACCAAGTTTTGATCTTTCAACTAACAGACAAACAAAATAAAAACATTAACACCATGGTGGAGGTAATAACAGATTTTAAAAAACTCAATAAAGTATTTTCTCAAATTTGAATCCAGTACCAAATTTGTATGCTTCCAAATCCCTGTTTGAATTAATTTAGGTTTAACTATTATAGAAGTATACCTCAAAGAGTGCCAATATACGAAGTGTTTTGAAAAGTGGGGGACAGTGAACATGTGTTGAGGAAATCACACTTTAGATTTTCCATGTGGATGAACAGCACATCATATTTTTTGGCCCCAAAACCAAATTAAATTTTTTTTTGGCTTCCAGGGGGATACACAAACCACAAAGGTGACATGACTGTATCACCTCATAAAGCTGATAAGGCGAAAGTGTGAGTAAACAGTTATTATTTACACATCCAGTTCACAGAGCAACAGAGCCACCTGTACATGTCCAGCTCTGCCTCTTCTTTAACTCCTGAGGGAAATATGTGGCTCTTTAACCGCTAAAAGCTCCACGATGTTGAGCAGCACGTCTTTTAACCTTTCGATTGTTTTTACTGATTAACTTAAGTTATTCCATAGAGAGTCTTTAAAACGAGTGCTGTGGAGGAAAACAGCTGCTGCTGCTGCTGCGTCTGGAAACAGGGTTTGACAACAGCAGCAAGACTGAACCACAACAAGGAGCTGATAGATGGCAAAAGACTCTGAGCATCATTATCTGTGGGTTTGCCATGAAAAATGTGTGCTTTTACACATACTGTTATTTTAAAGAACATTTTAAGAATGGGTCCTTT